TGAATTTGAGGTAATGTTGAGAGTGCTTCCCACTTTAATATTTTTACCTGATACTGAAGAACATGGCCAGCCGCTGACCTCATGAAAGCTGCCATAACCCTCCTCCAGCACAGTTTAAATTTGCAAAGTTTGTAGAGCTTGATCGCTGTCGATCTATTCAGCAAGCTTCGTGGGCTGTAGAAAAGAATCTCTTCTTCATTGTACGTCGCAAATCAGTAGAAAAGCGAGTCGCTTTTGTCACATAAAACAAGCTAGAAATTTGATGGACGACCCTTCAAATTGGTGATTTGTCGCGGCACGCCCCTATCAAATTTTTTGGACTTTCCAGCTACTTCCGTATAGCTTGGCTCTACAAACCATATACGCCCAGGTTGGGCAGAACCTCCTCTATGGTCCTTACGCACGAGTGCCTCAATCAGAACTTTTGGCTAATCGGTGGCAACGTCCGATATCCGACCACCACTCTTATCATACCAAGGCTCTCGCTTTCGTTACAATAACTTTTGAACTAACATTTGTTGCGAAAGTTCCTGTTGCTTTCAGGTCTATTTAAAGCTAGAAAAAGAAAGTCATGCCAACTTGCTCATCGAGTATACCGCATTCAAAGCTTTGAAAAAGCTATAAGAAAATGTTTGAACAAAGTTGAGCTAAGCTTGGATAGAGCTGGAAAAGCTCTTCAAAATGATATCCATACCGATTGCAGCTTTCTTAGATTTCAAGTGAAATGAAGCATCCAAATGTGGAGTGTCAGAAAACGACAGAACTTTCTGAAACACCTTAGGCCGATGTCAGACTTTGCGAATCGCGCGATTCGCTACTAGCGATTCGCGCGATTCGCTAGCGTCCGCGGTCGCGTTGCGGTACCAGCCAATTGAGTGATTCACTGGCCGCGACGCGACCGCAGACGCTAGCGAATCGCGCGATTCGCAAAGTCTGACATCGGCCTTATTTTTACGCACCCTGTGGTGTTAGTGGTTTGTTCAAGATATGGTTCACCGAGAAATACTCCCATATAGTAAGATGGTAGCAGTAGTATCTTCTGATCCAAGCTGGGGCAGTTAAGAAGCAGATTCCGTGATTAGGTCATTGCATCAAATTCTCCTGTGAATAAGATGCTGACTCCAGAGCAGTAGAGATTGAGCTACCTCGACGACCCAAGACGGGCAGGCTGAAAGATTCCTAAGGGCCTGGAAATTGCAACTATGGCCCTTTCCTGCAATCATGCTCACCCAGTTTTGAAATAACTGCTGTTTTGCTCCCTGCTGTGCTGTGTACAGTTCGTTAACTCAACACCGAGCGCCTCTTACGAATAGACTGATTGTCCGCAAGACTTTCCCACCGCCCTGAAATTGTAGAGACTTTTGTACAACGATCAGTGTTTCTGCATTTTTTCTTTTTTCTTCACTGACAAGTCAATCAGCACCTCTGTTTCATATTTAAACCTCATATTTCTCCCGTTTATGCAATCGCGAATTGTGCCTTTGAAGAAATACATCATTGTGAGCGTCAGAGGTAGAAAAGATGTCATTATTTCTGGGGAAACCCGCCATGAAAATTCTGAACGATCAGAAAAAATTCGTGTTAGTTAGGAGCTCCATCACTATTCACAGAATTTTGATTAGAGATAATTTCGTTCGAACATTTAACTAGCACAGTGTCAAACTTTAGGAATCCAAAACGGTAGATCCAACGCCATGGTTTCGCTGCAATTCGAGGGCTACGAGCAATGCGTCAGCGGTTCAAATGATGAACCAGCGCATTTAGTCGCTATTCGCTGGCGCACTGTTCGTACCCCTCAAGTTAGTCGCCAGCAAATCCATGGATTCATAAAGTTTGACACTGACACAGCTGGAAGAACCCTTGACGACCGAGCGCTGAAAACCGAAGACGGATCGACCCTCGCCTTGAAGGTGCCCTTGTTCTATGTCATTGACGGTGCAGTTATGTGTTTGCAATCGCTTGTGTAACGGCCAATATTCATCTATTTAGGGTCAGTTCTCATACAGGTGGTAAAAATGAAGCTCAAATTGCGGGACACCCACCATCAGTTTCATTAAGGGATCACGTACCCATCAATTGCAATCCAAGTATCCTCACTACGTGAAGAAATGCTTTGTACTAGATAAACCCCCTAAGATAAAAATAACGTCAAGGGTCGTACAAGTCGAAGGAAAACATGCTCGTTTCAAAGGCTAGACCACAATTAAGAAAAACATTTATTCAAAACGATTTGAATGTCGTGCGTAGAACTCTTTCTAGATTGATGGCAGTTGATGCCTACAGAAAATTAGACATCGGTGTGTGAACAAAGCATGAGAAAGAAAACAGACTAGATTATAATTAAAGATTGACATTGCTTCGGTCTTTAGACGCTATCACTGGTTCCACTAAATCACCGGTATCTACATATTGAGGAACAGAAGGCGTTACAAAGAAACTTCACATACATTGACTACTACAAAGTCGACAGATATTGTAATGGTAGCAGATGTGCACAACAGTGGCTGCGGCCGCAACAGGTCCAAACTGCGACTCAACAAAGTAATTGTACAAGGGAATTTACTGAGTTATTAGCATCAACAGACTGTTCGTCTGATCGGCGATGCCCCCCAAGACTATGCCTCGGAGAGCGCAGAGGAACAGACGCCGCGCCGCCGCGTAGCCTCCTCAACCACGCTAGCACCGGAGAGATCGTGGACCTTACGACTACTCGCGGAGCCCATCGAACTCCATGTGAGGAACATCCAAGTTTCTCGGGTATTCCTCCTAATGGAGCCCAAAAAGCCCACGGCTTCCCAGTGAAGCCCCAGCGATCCCTGGCACTCCTCATCGACGAGCTATGCGAGGGAATGCGTCTGGCTCCAATTTGGCGGGGCCGCTCGAGCTCCATGGGAGGAACATCCACATTTCTCGGGTATCTCTCCTTACCCGAGAAATCTCTCCTTACTCCTTAAGGAACCCGAAAGCCCCATGGCTCGCCTCGTAGTCCACACCCGCAATTCTTCGCTTTCTTGCCCAACGAGAAGTGCGAAGGAACAGAAAGCGACTTTTCGCCCTTCGCAGCGCGAAACATTTTCCGCTGCGGGAACCTCAGGTCCACCGCTGATCATCAGTGGACCTGAGGTTCCCGCAGCGAAAATGTTTCGCGCTGCGAAACGCGAAAAAGTCGCTTTCTGTCCTAGTGAACCACACCCCCATCCCCTCACCGGGCTTGCTGCACCTGGCCCCTGGATGCGATTCATCCACAACGAACCAGTACAGCACAGCAGTGTACGTGAAGAAAAGCCCACGACGAACCTTCTTATATGGCGCCCAATGAGATTTTACAAGTTACGTAAAAATATAGCATGTGGGCCACATCGACCATCTCACTGGCGGCCATACAAGAGCGTGATGGCGTTTCGTACATAAACAACATGAGCAGTGCTGACAAGCTTGTTAGGACGCATCAAGGCAATTTTGACTTAGGTTTCGATGGAGTATCGTCATTTCGTCACATTATCTCGCCGAATTTCTCATCAATCTGAAGCCTGACCAACTCCCCACCCTCCACACCGCCCAACCTGTTGCGACTAGCGCGGCAACGTCGTGTAAGTGGTGCCCCGTTGCGATTGCGCAACCCCTATCCGATTCTTCCCTAACCCTTCAAAAGTACCACGTCTATCTCGTCACAACATCCCGCCAAACCACGACGTAGCAGAGAGCGAATAAATATTACTATGAATTGCAGAAAACATCGCCAGAACAATGTCATCGAGAGTGGAACACGAACTGGATTCTTTCCACGAGAAGTCACGATGAGCTGAAATTTCATAAAATTCCGACATAATTTTCTTAAGCCGTGATTGCCGAACAGTCTGACTCTATGGAGCGATGCCGAAACAAATTCATTGAATTCCCGAGCTCGCAGCTCATGCTCAGCTATACAGAGGATCACGAAAGAAACGCAAGGAATGGACCCGTGTTCAATTAGGAACAATCCTTCAACACTGCATCACATCCATTTCTATTTAGGAACGGAGGATGATTTCAGTGGCGGACGTAGGGGCCAGCCTATGCCTAGTAATGGTTTCTCGCCTCACTCAAATCCAGTAGCGGTGGTCAATCGCTGTCCAACTTAAAGTTTTCCCAATTCAGTGGAAGTAGCTGAAGTTGGGCTAACTTCCAACCACACGTCAGCACTTGGAGCCCCATTACAGCCTTTACAGCAGAACTAGAGTTCATCATCCACGACACAATGTTTTGAGCGCTACGATCAGTGCAGCGCTAAGCTAGCTCGAAGAATGATGATGTAAGGAATATGTAACAGTTGAAAGTTTTTCAACTGTTATATGAAGAACCGCCTAGACATCAATGCACGAAAAACACAGCTGCTGCCATTCTGACCAGCATCGACTTTGTAGGGGCGATAGTTGCTCTACATATAAGCAAATGAAGATGAACAAAATTACAAACATTAAGATCAGACATAGAAATCTTTCTAAGGCTTTTCAAGTAAAGCATTAACTTTAAACCGACAATACTTTACAAAGAAATAGAATTACGTGGTAATGTTAATAAAATTAGAATAACGTGAACTGAGAAACACAACAACACTGAGAAGACGAACGCGTATTAAGGGCATTTCACCCTATTTTCTGTAGAAATCAAAAGATATGTTAAGAAAACCAATATTGATATAGTAGCTAGTGTTCTAGAATCTCGACCTTTTACAAAAAGTTCAAAAAAACTAACATGTTGGAGCATTCAGTTGAGTTAAAAACGCTTCTGAGTTGTGGTAAGCGAACAAAGATAGACAATATAACATTTGTAACCAAATTCATACCTGCTCTCATAAAAATAATTCCTGCCACAAGAACATCCGTCCTGTGAATGTGTGTCAGCTATTAGCAATCAATTTGTCAGCCAACCCGGTAGAACACGAAATAGCATTCCTTTGCTCATAGTTCTTTCTTTTACACTAGCTTTCCAGTTCTTCTTTATCATGACTTGCCCTACACCGAGCTCTGACTTGAATCTCCGGATGCTGGACCACAAAATCCTGAAGAGAAGCTCGGCCGGCGTGATTTTGATTTGGCATGCACCTGAATGGAGTGAGCTTGAGCACTTATCCAATAGGACGTTTTCCTCGCACCTACTTTAGTGTGACGTTTGCGCTCATCACTTCGTGCAAACTTTCGACCACAAACATCGCACGAAAATGGCTTCTCTCCAGTATGTGTACGGACATGCGTAGTTAAATGATCAGACCGCGAGAACGCCCGCAAGCAAATTCGACACTGAAATTTCGCTGTAAAGTATGGGCTACATGAGCATAACATATTTCTTAAAGTCACATTGATATCATAAACTGAAACAGTAAAGAAGACACATTGAGATTTGGCAGAAGTACAATTTAGCCTCCTGCAAAACTTCAGTAAATTTCCATTATAACCTTAGATCTCTGACTTTCCTACAGCCATATAGGATCACTCGGAGAAACGCTATGAATAACATCATGGCTATATTTGCCAAACCAGAATAGAAACAAGCAGTCCAAGCACTACGTTTCGGTATGAGTATGCATTATCAGCGAGTGAAGAAGAATTTAATCTCTCAATTCAACAGACTTCGAATTATTGCAGAAACTGTAAACAATTATGAGGAATTCTTTTAGGATAAGACTGAAGTTTTTTCCTCGTGTTAATGAATCAAATACCCATTCTAGGACATACAAACTAAGCGCTGGTTACGAAAATGCAGCGGTGGTACCGCCACTGGAGCTATTACAATTCCCTCTGAATCAACAAAGCTAGTGATACTTTGTCCCTCAACGTCACAGTGCTTGGCTGTCCACCGATCTACTGACTTCCCCTTCCCCCTGTTCCCCTTACATAAATCTAATCGCTTTCTTTCCACAACTTTTCCGTAACTGAATACTTGCGTCAAACATAGCGCCTTATTCACCTAAACAAACTCCGTTGTAATGAAAAGTTCTACGTCAAACTTTTTCTGTCAAAACTTTCCATTCCATGTTTCTTTTTTCCTTCAAATTCCAGAGATGCATAGCTGCCGTCTCAGACTGAGTCACGTTCGGCAGAATACGCAACAGAGGAGGTAGCGGGACCAATTTGACCACACATCATCGGCTAGGAAAAGCGTAGTAGTACAGCTTTCATGGAAGTAGGCACCAAGACCTGTCGCTGCGCGAGCGCACGCTCAAATTTCCACGTATGTCAGAAGCGACTCGACTAGCAGCTCAGTTGTACGCATAACAGGAGAACACCTCACGGTGATAAACAACAGCTGTATTCATGGCACTTATGCTCTATAAGAGACAAGGTTCAGAACGATGAGTGCTAATTCAAAATTGAAGTCAGATTTATCAATTTCAAAACAAGCATAATGTAAGTAACTGAAAGTGAAGATGAAAGAGAAACCAAAGTAAGCAGTGATTACCTGGAACGGTTTCTGTCCAGTGTGTATTCGAATATGTCTAGTCAGTTCATCGCTTCGTGAAAAGCGCCGGTCACAATCATCTCTCGGACACTTATACGGTCGTTCGTGTATAGGGATTTTGACATTTCGCTGGGAGTATTTCCGCATAGCATCGCCCTCCATCTGTACAATTCCACAGATTAGTGGTAAGGAAAGGAAAAAATTGAAAAAAGTATGTCAAAATTCATTGCTAAGATTGAAGAAATAGCGCCATTAACGCACCTTTACATCTCCACTTGTAGACTGATATTCGAACACATTGAACTCGCCATCTGAAAAACACATAAACTAGTGATGAACGATCAAAAATCAACGTTGTTTGTTCAAAAAGCTTGCTCCTCCGAAGTGTAATCAACACCTTACCAGAAGTAACCTTTTCAGACTTTTCAGAATCATTCGTGACAAAAAGTGGACGCATTAGAAAGAAGACTAGAGAGATAATTCAGACAGTACTAACAAAAACTTTGTTACTACTACTATTCCAGAATCCCAGCAGTTTCAAATATAAATTCTTCGTTCGAAGAGCACAATTCCGCTTGCCAAGTAGTAGTCGTCGACAACATACTTAGAAGAAAAAACAATGGATTTAATCAGCAGCTTATCTCAACAATCAGAAAATATGTGCATAATACATCCAAATGGTAAGAAGTAGATCAAAAACGTTCGCTACTATAAAATCAAGCCCTCAAAGGGTTGCAAAATAACTGCACTCAAAGAATCAAGGCATTAGCGGGGAGAAATCCCCACACAAAGCATATGTGCTGACTTATCTCTAGCTGGTTGATTTCACTTCCACTATTTCTCATTCAATGAAAGCAGCCTCGTAACGCGACTGAACAGTGCTAGCCTATCATCCAGAATGTTACCTGACCACGGACATATATGGCAGGAATGATCCAAGTTCGAGTTTTCAACAAAAATCTACATTTCAAACAGAGAAAAAGGTTACAGAGTAATACAGGGAAGCTCGATAGTAAATTCCACAAAAGGTGAAGTAAATATAAGCAGTTAACCTACTTGCAGGATCGTAGCGCATGTGTTCACCAAATCCATAAGAGTAGTCATCGATAGGCTCGACTTTTGGTTCGAAACCAAATTCCTTCGCTTCACCTCTGAAATCGACGAGTACGCAGAGAGAAAAACAATCTTCAAATTTTACTTACAACGTTTTTCACTCACGTGAAAGATTCTTCTCCATTGGCATCACCGTTAAATTGACCGCCATCAGCAAAAGGAGGTGCTGGTGGATGTGATTGCTGGGGATGAGATGAACCAGGAGCGACTTCCAGTTGCTGGAAACAGTAGACGAATTACAACAACTACTAAACTTAGATTTCTGTGGGAAAGATATAGAAACACACATGGCCACAGTTGTTGGCTTCGGCGCTAGAATAATTCCAGACAGGGAAACCGTATCGCACATTCATTGTGAGATTCCTACGGGGAAAAATCATTCGATTTTCCTCCTCTAGAAAGGCGGAGCCCAATGTTTTGATTGTCTGATGTGATAGTGGATCGTGCTCAATGGATGAGATGCATACGGGGGATTGTGAAAATAAGCAAAAATCGACGTCGATACAAGAGAAAATTTACCTGGAATTTCACCACAGCTGGAGGAGGTTGAAGCGGTTTCATCATTGATGTGGTTCCGTTCCGCTGTACCGTCTCCACATTCTGCTGCCCACCTTCCTTGTCTTCCTTCTTCATCTCAGTCGGAATACGCACCACCTAAAAACGATAGTGTCATACTACTGTTAGAATGGAATTGGAAAAAGATACCTTCAAAAGATCTGGCGCTTCGCTATTGGCACCAGGGGTCTTGGCGTCCACGACAGTGAGCTCGGGTAAACCACTGCCGCCCTAGAATCGAAGGTAAGAACACTGTTTGAAGAAACGTAGGAAAATGTAGAACACTCAGACACAACTGCTTCAAGATGTCTTGCTGACTCAATAATTATCTTTCGGTTAATTCCTGACAATTGACGACATCTTCGAGGGTGGGAGGGACAGCAGGGGTTGGCAAACAGGTAGGGAAAGTATATGATCGAATGGACAAAAATAAACAAGTGCACGTTTCTTCAGTTGTATAGTCAATGCGCCCGATCGGGTTGCGTATTGCCGAAACACGGGAGCGTTTCCAAAGAATAACGATCGAAAACAGCTGAATAGAACCAAAAGCGTTCACATAATATGATGTACGGATGAAAGCTAACTACGGCCCAATCAAGCGCCGACTTGAGCACCCCAGCTACACTTCTATTTCGTCTGTATAAAGCAAATTTATTAAGAGGAAAAACTCATAAATATAGCAATCATGATATTTCCAAAACTCAAGCTCAAGGAAACGTGCCTTTGATAAGGACTGCAAAAAATGTTCGACCATTGGTGAAAACTGGAACATCGAAGCTGACAAACCTGAGAATAAAGGAGTTTGTTATTGAGATTTTTTTTCAAAACATAAAAAATTTCAAACACAAGTCTCACCTGGTGAACTCACACCCGACGTGAGGTTTACTGGAAGGTTAGTCGTAATCGAACCTTTGAACTGTATTGTTGTTTTTTCATTTTTGTGACCATTGTCCCCATTTTGAGAAGATGAGGCTAAAACAAGCTTTTATATTCGCTCAAAGACGCTCCTGTAGTTAGGAGGAACATCAGTGTGAGTGAGCCACTTATAATTACTATTTGGGACTAAGTCTTAAGGAGTGGAAGGGATTCCGGAAGGATTTGAGCAATTTCTTTTCTCCCTGGTGCTTTTCCACTCTCCTATACTTTGTCCTAGTTCGTGGTTTTAGATACAATGATTTGAATGCCCCCTAAGGACAGAGCGCCTGCATAAATAACAGGAAAACACTAACACGAGAAAGTGAAAGAGATCGTTAAGCACATATTTGGATAGCTTTTCGCGGCAATTCTTGCACATCTCAGTCTTTCTTTTGCCACTATCAATAATGGTGCCTAAAGGATCGCTGATATGCTTTCCTTCGTATTTATCTTTCCTCTCTTGAGCAATCCGCTTCAAAATTTGACACATTGTAAATCAATTTTTTTGAATCTCAAAACCACTGAAATTCAAAAAATTACAAAACACGGTTTTTATTCAAAGTTTTTTCTTTTAGAGAAAAAATTACTGCGCGAGAAACCGTTTTGAGAAGCACTTCAATTTTACTGTACGTCCGGCAGTGGTCAGACTTCGCGATAAATCGCTAGCAAGTCGATGACATACATTAGCAGTTGGCTACATGTCTCGACTATAACCGACCCTATATGAATGCTTAAATCAAATCGAAATGTTGCCTACGGCTCCCCACTTTCTTCACGATTTGGAGCGCGGCCGAGTCGGCGCGAACTGTGCGGGTAAATTTGAAAACGCTCTACCACCACAGTTCGCGGGCACTGTGGACTCGTCCGCGCTCGCCGCGGCCGCGCCCCAAATCGTGAAGAAAGTGGGGGAGCCGTTGCCTACAACTGCTTTCCACATACCTGATCCATTCGAATGATTTTGTACAGTAGATGTTTGCGAGATGGACTGTATTTCAATGTTTCCTGGAAAGTCAAACTATAGTAGGAAGAGGGAATGAAAATAATTATAAACAAAATATATTTACGCTCAGGGTTCTATTTTTTGTCTGGGCCCAGCAAAAAGCAAACGAGCCTAGAGAAGCTGAAGGAGGCCACGCAGAGGCTTGCAAATGTTGCATCTAGCACGAGACCCACACCCAACACATACGTCCTTTGTTGGGGTTGTGGTTGGAGAATAAATAAATGGCTCCCCCACTTTCTTCACGATTTGGGGCGCGGCCGCGAACGCCGTGGGTTTGCTGCGGCCGCACCCCAAATCGTGAAGAAACTAGGGGAGCCCGAATAAATTGCAACGTTTTGCTCCAGACGGCCGGGCGATACAGCTCACGTTGTCAAGCAGTCAACCGTCCGACAAAAGTGACAAAAGGAGTCGCGCGGTCGACAGACTTTGAAGAAGGGCCACGTTAACCTGCTGTGTTAGAGGTAGTGTCGACTGTTCTTTATATCAATTCAAAGTTTTCACCCCCTCTTCCAAGGCTTGGGGTGGTGGTCTCGACGCAATCCCCACCACCCCCAGCCTTGGACGGGTCCCCTCAACCCCCCCCCCCACTCCAACACCTCCCACCACCACCCCTCACCACTTTCGCCTTTTCCATAATGAGTTTACGGCGTTGAACACTCAATGTAAAAGAATCACTGCAGTACTCCGGTTACCACAAGGCTTGTTAGCTAGTATTTCCCTGACTCTGCAAGATCAGCTGAAACTTTGTAGAATTGGAACCCAAGGTTGAGCGTGAATTCAGACTCTTGATACATAATTCGACTGAAGTTCCGACATTACTGTATGCTGACTTATCCTGAGAGAGGCTCTTCACTGAAACATTTTGCTTCTACTCTAAAAATAACCAAAACCGTAAAATAAACGTCAAGAAGACCTTGAAAATTGGTGAGAGTACTTTCCGTGAAGTTGACTTCGACCAAATACAAATGCGACATGGCACAACCGGATCACACGACGCGACGAACGCCTTCTGGCCCAAATTTTCGCGCGTTCTCAGAAAGAATGCACTCGGGTTTGTACTCCCGCAGCGAATGAACCTGCAGCGCGACCGCGCACGCAACGCGCGACTGGAGCAGCATATTTGCATTGGAGCTAGGTATTGGAAACAGCGAGAATTGTTGAAAGGCGAGACACTTTAGAATTAGTGATAAATGGAGCCATGCCCAAGACAAATGATGCCGTGGCAAGCTGTGATAGAGGTAGGTAGGATGTATTTGTAATTTCGTAATTAGCAAAAGTTCCGGTGCTTTCTTCTCTAAAGTTGTTGTAAAAAAAATGGCTAGGGCGCAATAATTACTGCGTCCCTACAAACCCTTCCCGTAGCTTGAAAAAAAGCACATATTAAAACAGATTGACGGCTATTTCTTTGGAGAGTCGATATTGCGCGCGAAAAGCCGCGTTTATACACAAAAGCTTCGGGGATTCTACCATTTGGAAAAAATATTATTAATATTTATTCGCCAATTCAAAAAAAATGTGTATGAACGCGATCCAATGCTGGTTTAAAAATCCGGAGACTTGTCTGTGCGGAAAATGCTGCAACCATTCGCTCCACGGTCACGCTGCAGATGCTTTTCCTACGTAAGCCCGAGCCAATCCGTTCCCACTTTGCGCAAGAATTTGAATAGAAAATCGCGCGACTTCGCGTTGTAACCTAGTGTCACATCCTGTGAGACGCCAGCCTGGTCGATAAGGTAGCTGGGGAGGGGGGGGGTAGACATGGCGGCCGCGACGCGTGCCATGTCTGCGTCCTCTCAGCGAGATATTGTAACTCGCGCGTTCCAGCTTTTCACACATGTCAAAGACTCGCCCCCGTGAACTGCCCATTTTCCCCTTGCTCACGAATCCCTCACTTTGCGCTAATGGTACGGACATGCCGCGCCGCGGCTGCGACTGCCCCTCTCCCCTCTTCCGACTACCTCAATACCCCAGCCCGTTCGCAACTATTACTGGCATTTGTGTCAAATGTAAATTGCTCTCGATACGTATTTCCATGCGCGTTTCTCAATTACTGTGCGTCCCCATCTGCCACTATCAATCTTCCCCAATCAATGGCGCACGAACAAAAAGGAAGGAAATGGTGAACACAATTACAGGAAGAGGACACGGATGACAGATAACACAATTAAGAATTTTGATGGACAATCTAATTTTGAACATAAACCTAAAGAGAGGCAGCGAGCGCATTCCCACATTTCCAGTCCCTAGTCTGAGAAACAAAGGCCGTGTCATTTTGAAACCAGCATTCACTCAATGTTGCGGTGGCCTCTTGAGCAGGCTTTTTCATCAATTATTAATGAGAAATGCATGCCTGTACGAAGTAGCTCTTAGCAACGCGTTAGGCTGTGATTAGAGGAATAGCACAAAAGGTCCCCACGTCAGGATATTTAATTCAATGATGTTCAGTGCTACGGACTTCAGCAAAGTGCAAGCAGTACAGCTAGTCCCAAGTTTCCATTAACGATTACTCAAAAGAATAAACGACACAAAATGGAGTTACTTCAAACAAGTCCGTTTCGCTTGTTCAGAGAGGGTTTCCGATTATTTTCTCAGCTTTCTACTCGACCTGAGGTAACCGCAATTCCCGTATCCATGATCACTTTCTCCCCATATCATGACTACTTGCTAAAAAGTTGCACAGCATTTTCGTGGGCACCTCAGAAAGGCTTTCCAGAAAAAGCGATAGCACACCAAGATGAGTCAATAGCGAGGATTCTATGATAAATTGGCAGTATTGTAGATGTAGGGAATGGGGATCGTTTCAAAGTTATTACTCCTTGAACAATTCCGTTACTGGCCGTGGATGTACATTTCCTCTCGGTCCAGCAATGTATGAGACAGTTTTGGAGCGTAGAAAATGACAAGTAAATAAAACAAAACAAGCGGATCCACGCGAAAATGTGGCGCGCAGACGCGTCACACTGTCGTCTATGTGCTAATCAAAATACCATTCACTTTGCGGCCCAGCGTGCTAAGGTTGCTCGTCACCACGGTCGACCCTACCGTTGGATTTCTCGGAATTTTTTATACGATCCCCCTGCAAGCTCAACAAAATACGACCCACCCTGTTGGTATTTGTTGCATAGGGTTGACCCTGCTCGACACTACAGTTTCCATGACACACTAATTTTGAGTAAGAGAAGAAAAACGCCCGCGGATATCCGAATATTACTTGAAGAACAACAACAAAACAGATGCAAGCTTTGCTCATCTGCTCCTAATAGCAAGATAGTGAACATGATAATATTGTTTAATTAACATAAACTCAGTAATTACTAATAACTCTCCAGCTTCAATAATATATCACTTTTTCGATAAGAAAGAAAATAAGGGCGGCGCGATACCGCAAACGATTTGCAATCAGTCAAACTTTCCTCCTTCCTACTCTCAAATGTTGCGATTAGCAAAAAAGTGTCAAAGAAAAATTTTCTTAATTGTGAGGGAAAAAACGATAAAAAAGATCTCAAATCGAATAGAAGAAAAAGGAAAAAGTCCAATAATTTGAGAGTTTCTGTCAACAAAATGAATATTCCGATGATTGCTGGATAACCGAAAGAATTACATACGTTCGAGCACAACTTTTTTTTGATCACGTACAAAACACGCAGATTTCCGGGCCCATTGTGGAATCTGTTTAGTTGTCGTCAATGCAACAAGAGCTACATTCAATGCGCAAATTCGTTTTGTAGCGGCACAGTAAAGGGGTAGTATCTGCATAGAAGATATTAGTTAAAACGGGTAAACTGAGCGTTCCGCGACAAATATAAAAAAGAGCTAAATTCATAAATTTATAAAAAATTTCTTGATTCACATACCTGTGAGCAACGGCTCATGGTCACCAAAAAAGGCCTGATTGTTCTGGGGTGTGAACCCGTTGAAGTGATGGATCCTTGGCGTGCCATCCAGAGCGAGTGGGGTAGATTTCGTTGGAGATCCAAGTATAGTTGGTGTCTATAACACAAATCGGAGTAATTGCTAAAAGATATAAACACATTACATTACAGTCGCCTATGGGGGACTCATTTGAGCCACCAGCAGAGACGATCCCATAAGAAACATTACTCCCCGAAAAATCACCAACTATCCATGTGAAACTAAATGAAGCGGCTTAACAATCAACACGCTATTTCCACAAAGAGAAAGATTGAAAATCAATATTAAAATTTAATCGCTAACTGATCAATAGATGGGATTTCGATAGCTATCGCGAGATACGGGGACACTATACAATGCATTTAGAATCGCGTAAAACAACTAATTTTCGTTGGAAAAAGGACTAAACCTTAGGAGGAGGAGCAGAGAAAGGTCCTGCACCCCCTTGGATTTAGCCCTAGGGGATGCCCTTATGTTGCGATCTCGTAGATGCGACAGAGCGAAAAGGTTGGCGGATAATTGAAAAGCCGATCTGTATCGATAAAAAAATGGCCGAAAAAAAAACTGATTTTCCCAAAGCCCACTAAGCGATATGTGGCGTTTCGCTGCAGAACGCGCGCCATTATCGGCTTGATAGAGCGCCGAATGAGTCTTAAAAGCCCCTCTGGTTCTCAGACACGCCCACCACCGCCAAGAGGAAGGGATCAGGATAAGATGCATTTAAAATGAAACCGTAATCTTCATCGTTCAATCTTTCCAAAGTGAGCTGTTGCCGCTGGCAGCTAGTAGGGTGAGTCAGGATCAGACTTCGGTCCGATCTAGATCTTTCTCCGGAATTAGAAACGCTTCGCTAATTAGGATGTTCTGTTCTGGTAATATTTCATTCAAAGTTACAGATTGCTAGTAATGGCTGATCCCCGTCATGTAAGTAGCCGTTCAATTTGCGTGAACTGGGGCGGTATTCAATCCTTCCCCTAGGGTTGGGGGACGAAAATCCCTTTAAATTTTCTCTGTCTTCCCAACTGGGATTGTCCTGATAAAGGGCCTACATTTAATGTATGTATGTAGTCAAAGTAAACATGCATTGAAAATGAAGAAACTACATCGTTAAAAACAAATAAATTTAAAGGGATTTCCGTCCCCCAACCCCTGGGGGAAGGATTGAATACCGCCCCTGGTCTTTAAGTCAACGTTTCAGTACTATAATGCTAATTATGAATAGGCGATCACAAATCAATCGGTGAACAGCTAAACAATCATTGGAAACGCGGGGTTACTGGTATTCTTATAATAGAATTTGTTACTGTCTATTTGTTTAGTTGGACTGTGTTCCTGTACATATTTCTAACGTTGTTTCCAATAATTGAAGAAAAAATAGATAAACTCGAGCCATAGCCTCAGGAGATCCGTTTACGTTCAGCGGATAAAATAGTAATGGAGGTAGGGGTCTACAGAAGAGAACTGCGCTTAATCCTTCTTTAACAGTAAGCAGTTTTAGCAAAGGTCCCCGACGCTTTTTTACTTTTTGACTGCATATTCCATTCAGCGGAGCTTTGGCCATGGATAGAATGCACGCTAAAGTAACACTGCGACTGGTCGCCTGTCAGAACCACCAATCACAGCCGAACCATGCGCATTACGTCTAAAGATTCGCAAACAAAGGCCAGATGGTCACAGCACCAGCCCCCAAAGCAAATGATAATCAACAAATGAAAGGAAAATTGAAACGAAAAATAGTAATGGAATAACTTCAATGAGAAAATCAGCGATAAAAAAATGTAATAAAGCATCAAAGAAATTTCCATTCGGAGTCACCAACCTTCAACATATCGCTCATTGTCGGCGTCTTGAGGCAGTCATGATCAGACAGTGTGAGTAATGGTTTTGTGCTGGCCGCTGGTTTCAGCAGGCCCGGCCCTGACCGGGACAATTTCGATCCCGGTACCTGTAAGGCCATCCAAAACTCCTTTCCTTCCTGAAATTACGAGTTCAATGAAATACAACTGTACAACAAATATGAGCTTACGGAACGAGAATCAAGAAACGGCAACACACTACGACTATATTTGATGAGGCCGCGTATACTGAAGCCTATTTTCAGTGCCACGCTTTACCAAGACAGTAACCATCCAGTACATTTTTACGCCTTTGAAAATTCACATCAGTTATTTTCCGCTCGTATCGAAATCAAACAGAGGGAAGAGCAGGTTGCCAGAAAAGCCGAGAATCAATTCCTTCAGCTCTCTGGAAGTTGCCACAGGGCGGACAATCGGGGTTTCTGCACGTTTACAATGGAGAAAAGCTTAGGGTTGCTGCAGGAAGCTAAAACTCTTAGAAAGTCCCGGCACCTGGTACCTGTAAGGCCATCCTTTTGAACAGCTCTTGACTCCTGTCTTGCTAGTTCTTCATGACGTGACGGTGCTATGTTAGTTGGGGAGGGAGGGAGGGGGGCAGTCGCCTCCGCGATGTACAGCGTGCCTGCGATCTCTCAGCGCGATAGTGTAAACGGCGTTTCGCCCGTTTTTCACGCGTGTCACGTGATTCGCCCCCCCCCCCGGTTTACGGACTACTTGATTTTTCCTCAATGGTCCTGCCGCGATGGCTAGAGCACAGACGATTAGAGAACGGGTGAATGCCCTAGGACTAAGCCTTGGAGAGGAGAGGGACCCGCGAGAGAGCGCAGAGGCGGTTTAAAGGGCTGAGTTCAAGTAGTCCGTCGACCCCCTCCCCATGTGTGAACCTGGAGCTCCCGTAGCAAAAAACGAAATAGTGTGCATGTGTGAGAGCTCCCAGACAATACTACAGAGCGCGGATTTACCTTGCCTCATGGTTAACACATGTCCATGTACCGTATTCACATAGGGCGTTGCACCTTGTCAACGAAGATATGTCAAGCATTATCACGCATCACATTAGAGGACAATAGAGTCTGGACATTTAAAGATATCCCGGAACAGAGACATTCACGTGCATATCTCCAAGGAGAAGGATAACGCCGAACGAATTTTTCAACTTCAAGGATTTCTATTTAAAGACGACATTTCAGCGACTTACCCTGCCTCAATTAATCCGTTGCGGAAACGAGATACTCCACTACATTCAAAACGCAGTCCAATGGACGAAGGAGCAGTGAAACATTCAAGAAAGTGTGACACCGGAATGTTTAAAGGACGTGCAAATGGAGGGTCTTGCACAGAATACCATTTCAGAATTCGAAGAACCACGTCCTAGAGGTGTGTGGGCAGTTCGCAACCATTGTTCCGAGACATAGAATTCATTGTGAAGCGTACTGGTTCCTAAAGGATTGCCGGGTGAGTCGAGTTTAGAGTTTCGTGACGCAGCTCGCAGAGTGTAATAGCGTACAAAGCCGAGTTAATCTGACTCTGCTCCAATTTGCTAATGGCAAAATAGGATGAATGATGGAAACTAAGAGTGAGCCACGATTGACTGATAAGCCGCTGGCAAGAACGATGTCAGCTAACCAAGTTTTCGATCGGGCCGCCAGAAAAGTATGAAACATTGATAGATGCGCTAAACGACGCTGTCGTGGCATAATCAAGATGACGGTCATATGAATCACACTTTAGGTGACGTACGTCGACGACATCGACGTTCCTCTGGTGAAACAACGAAGTTGTATGAGTGAACACCTTCTTGGTACAATGTGGTCAGTTGGTGGGAATGTCAAGGATCCAAGGGCTGACGAGCTGAGTCGATCAGCACCATAAGGTATCCTTCCTAGAGCTATTTGTCCCCATAGATAGCGCGAAATTCAGCCCAGTCGATGAACAGTGTACAAAAAATTCTGTGCCGCAGTCCACGATCCGAGCTGAGAACATCGCGCAGTATGGGATGACCGACCACAAAGGCGAACGAATGTCGTATTTAACATTTCGTACATTTCATTTTGAATAGATATACGATCCACAACCAATCGATTAATCTAGTTTGAAAAAATTGACTGACATAAAAAACAACGAGTCATTGACATAAATGCCATATCAATAAATTGTTGAATTAATTACGATAAAAATGGAATAATATGAGTTTTCTATTCGCGAAAGCAATATGTGTGTAGTTGTGATATCTGTGTGATCGATTGCGTAGATCAAACGGAGTACGAGAACAAAGTTCTGAAATCGCACTGATGTCAGCGCAACATCGAGAAGCGTTTTCAGAAAACAAACGCCTCTCTCTCACTCAGTCGATATTGGGCCGCGAGGGGTTGAGGAGAGCGAGAGGCAAAGACACAAAACCCAATTACTCAAAATGCTACCAATAGTATGCGAAACATGTGCGCACGAATGCGCACGTTCACTCACACAAAGTAAACAGGAATTGACCACCGATCATTGGGATGTGATCTATTGATCACGGTCCCATTAACGCAACACGTCAATGCGTATCAAATTCATTAGCATATTACGTAAAAGCGCACGCGCGCAATGAACGTGCACACGATAAAAGCGACAGGATAAATGTGGAATGATATGCGAGGAGAAGATGTAACGGGGTGCACTTTCCGAGAAAATCGTCATCGAACCTCGCCATCCACCAACATGTCATCGAGCCAGCGCGCACACGTGCGCGCACGAAATCGTCGCGAATCAGCAAAAATAAGCGAAAAAGGAATCGACGACATCAATTCCTCATATACGGTCGTGATATTTAAAAGTCACGCGATTGCATCGCAAGAAATCGTACCACCAGCCTCGTCTCGCCAGTTGAGTGTATGGGATGATTGGAGGAAAAAACGTGCGGGAAGCTGATCGAATTGAACGTGAAACTCCTCATACCAACTGTTCATTACCTTCGTTCGGTTGTGCGGCGAATTCAGGAACCGATTACAAAATTTCGCTAAAGTCAATACTCGTTGGGGCGCACGTGAACTCTCTCTCTCTCTCTTTCTCTCGTCAGTCGCTGCCCTCTCTGCTGCCTCCTTCTCGATCCATTCCTCTCCACTCACACGCTGCCGTTCTCTCGTTTGCCATGATAAGGCAACGTAGCGATGCGGTCGCGTAGCGTCCGGACTACGGTACGAACTCGGACGGCGTCCTGCACCCCGACAAACGGACGGACGAACCTGGCGATGGCATCATCGGTTCCTGGGCCACGATCTTGCCACTCGAAATTCGATCATGTTCCGCATCGGTGCTTTTGCAACCAGGCTAGCGCTTGCTTTATGATGTCACTCCATCAGGCATGCATTCGAACTTCAGCTAGGAGGTGCTTTCACATCGCGCCAGTGATTAAGCGCTTCTGGTGCTTAATATCCCGTAGATTAGGCCCCGCATCGCTATAAATGGTGCTTTTCACGTTTCATATTCCAACACAATCAATTGTTGCAGGACTTCGGCTGAGCTCATTGCAAGGCTAACACTTCTATGTTTTTTTTCCATAAAAAATCATTTTCCGTCATATCGCACTTTTCAGGTCCATAACAGGCTATGTTCAATAGGGGCGGACTGGAAGCCATATGATGACAAAAGGTAAAGTAGGCATCATTTGGCGAGGTTACGTGTGTCGCTCGACGCATCCTACTTCCATTTAGCTCTTTAGTAGTATGAACGCGACTTGGCCTACAAAATGGCTTTCAGGGGCCGGCTGATGTACAAAACAGCTTTTTAATCTCCAAACTGGTGTTACGGATTCACCGTAGGGTCAACCCTACGTTGTTACGAGTAACAACGGGGGGTCGTACTCAGTTGAGCTTGGAGGGGGGGTCGTACCTCTCGGTGGCCGACAGTGGGATTCTTGGTAATATCGGATAATAGCCAGCACGTTACGTTTTCGTAAGATGACTGATACTAGAGCATCTATAAACCACGCTTCCCTCTAAATGAGCTTTCAAATGAATCAGCGAATTAGAAGGGCGCCCGAGGCGTGGCGCGCACCAAGGCAAGGGATGTAGTGCAAGCGCATGCTCGAAGCTTTCTAGCACATCCTAAGTTAAACATGACATTGGTCTTCCAAGAAGTTACGGGCAGTGAAACCTAAAGAAAACCCGCGTTTTCGGGAAAATGGCTTGAAGAATACCCCTCAAAAAAGTAACAACGGGACTAATTTTTGAACTGCTGACTTTTCAGGAACGTTTTGGTGCTCGTAAGAAAGCTTGAATCCTGTAGTTTGTCATACCGTGTTCAGCTTCCCAAATGAATGACTTTGAACAAAGTTATGATCGTTTAAAGGTTAAAAAGTCGCATTTGCACAGAAAAAAGTAACAACGTACTAAATTTTTATTAAATTAACTTTCGAAGAATTTTTACCCATGGTTGGAGAGAGAATAATTTGAATTTTCCAAATCAAATCACTTCGGCGCAGAAGCTCGAATATGAAGGAAGTTATAGCCTTAGAAAGAGGGGTGTAAAAATTGTGTTGCAATTGAAGAACGTGAAGGATTTCAGTATTTCAATTGGAGCGATAATTTTTTCTGACTTCTCATAAGTTTTTATCAGGTAATATTGTCAATATTCCGGTCACTGGTTCAGTTTATTTTTCATCTCCTAGTTTGGTAACCCTTTGGAGTACACGGATATCTTTGAATGCATCTCATTTTTTCGTGTTTGGAAGCAGCGATGAATATCTGTCGTGGATTTTGCTAAAGTTTCATCTTTGATGACTTACGTAGAAATAAATATTGATGGTAAACTGTCTCTACACAAGTGTCACATACAAGGGGGGTCGTATCAAATCACCCATGAAGGGGGGGGGTCGTAAAAAATTTCCAAAGAGTAACAACGATAGGGTTGACCCTGATTCACCGATCACGGAGGGATGGAAGGCTTGGTTGGCTTGGACGGCGTACGATAGGATTCGATCCTCGGACCATGTGCGCCATAAGCGGGCCCACTTGCCATCACACCACTTCTACCCTATGCATCCCCTAACAAACCATGCATATTTTTTCGGATACACTGAAACTCAAAGACAAGAATTTCGGAAGAAAGGCGAAATCGA